AGTCCTAATAACTCCTAAAATATTCACAAGAAATTCAAAGTCGAATGACTCCAATAATGAAATGGAAATCGATGATCTCCAAGTCACACACACCGGGAGCAGTGACTTCCTGCTTTTCCTACCGTGAATTGAGCATCTACGAGAAGCACCCCTGAGCCCAGGTATGAGATGAGGACTTCGCCATCCAGACGACTCAACCCCAGAAGGACTGACTACAGCCTACTGGGACCCTCGTTGCTCCCTCTATAACGGGATGAATTATATACAGGGTGTTCCTTATTTTAGAAGATTTTTGCCACTTACAAAATTTTGATATTGTTTATGGATTTCGAGTAAAATTAGCATTATTACACATTAAATAATATAAAATCAGTTTAAAATAATTAGATCAGTCTAGTATGAGGGGCCAGTGGTGCCACATAACAAAGAAACAAATTCATAACAATAATTAAAAGGTTCAGTATCAAGCTAGGTGTCGTTTAATTTTAATTTACTTTGTTTTTTAATATATTCTTTCTATGGCTGCAATTTATACTTTTGCTGAACAAACTGATAAGTTACTAGTTTTGAATTATTGTGAGGGAAATTGTTGTGCTAGTGTTCGAATATAAGCTGAAAGATTTCCTAGTTGAAGAATTCCAAATCACAAAACATTTGCTAATGTGGAGAGACGCCTTTGGGAAACAGAACGTTTTTAACCTGTAACATTAAATCATGGACAACGATTGAGCATTTACTGTAATATTAATAGAGTATTAAAAGACCAGTTATTCAAGAATCAAATTCAGGACTTTTACCTACCAATAGATCCTCCGTCACGTTTTGCTTTCAGTCAAAGTATTCAGGAACTCAGAAACAGAGACGATAATATCCACAAGAAAATCCTGTTTACAGACGAAACCGCTTTTACTAGAAGGGGTATTTTTAATTCACATAATGAACATGTTTATTGTGATGAAAATCCACATGGAATCAGTAAAAGACGATTTCAACATGAATTAAAGATTAATGTTTGCACTGATATTATTGGTAGTATTTTAATTAGTCTTGTTATATTACATGCTACATTGAACGCAGAAATTATTTAGAATTCCTTTAAATGAGATTACCTATTTGCCTGAACAGTTACCGACAACTCTCCCCATTTGGCTTATCGGTAAGTCAATACTTAGATGAGCACTATCCTAACAAGTGGATAGGTAGAGAAAATAATGGCCATCTCAATCCCCGGACTTAAACCCGTATAATTATTTGCTTTGAGGAGCGTTAAGGACCACAATTTAAAGTTTTTCAGTAAATACAGAAAACGAATTATGCAAAAGAATACAAAATTAAATTAATGTTATGGAAGGTAATACTCAATTATTGGATAAAATTCATTTTAATTTCCTAAGCAGAATTACTTAATGCCTGCGTTCAAGAACAAGGAAGTCATTTTGAGCATTTACTGTAATATTATTTTAATGTGATATCAATTTAGGTTTATTTAAAATGTTGATGTTGGCTTTCTTATATTATTAGTTGATATTGTTTCTTTAAATTACTAGGGTAGATTTTTTATTTTATTGATTGATGGTACTAAGACCAAAAATGTGTAATTAATTTTGTTTTTTCATTTGCTTCGGGCTGCAGTTATAAATTATCTTTTAGTAATCGGAATATTTGCCTATATTTAATGCATAAAAAATGGCAATTTTAGTCAAAATCCATAAACAATATAAAAATTTTGTAACAGGTAAAAAATCTTCTAAAATAGCGCTTTTTTTTTAAAATATAAATCCTGGCGTCGCAGGCAAAAAAGTTACGGGATAGCCAGTGGCGCACAGGCACTACAAAGAGAACATCCTGTATACGTATCTTCAACAAATTCTTTATTTACATTGCCCTCTTATAAAAAAATATCTGTACCAAATTTGAAGTTTCTAAGAAAATAGTTTTCAAATTATTTGAAAAAAACTAGGTTACTATATTTAGAAGGCTATATCTCAATAGGCGAGCACTTTTGTATATAGGTAAGTTAGGCTAAATAGTTTTATTTTCATCCAAGGGACTGTGGTCAAGCGTTGTCCACCCTTTTCAGGGTCACCCTGTACATATATATTTTTGTGTTCATATGTATTTTATTTTTCATAATCATTAACTTCTTTGCTGTAATAACTAGATACAAAAGTCAACCTCCTTATCTTTTACTGAGAGCTTTATTTTTATTATATAAGAGAACTGCTTTGTCTATCCCAGTATTCCCAGTTAGTGTGAAATTTAACTTGTAATAGTGAACTTGCTTCTTGTTAAACTGGAGCAGGTTAAAAACTAAGGCTAGAAGAATGCATGGAATCCCAGTAGAAGGATGGGAGATAGATGTATATCTTTAGCATATCAGTAATCATAGAAACACTTTTATTCTTCATTTTCAGAAGAGAGAAAACTTATGTTTCGGACATTTTGGGAAAAAATGATTGGGGAGGAAAAAAGGGCTTACATAATAGGCAAACGGAATACACGAAAACAAAGAGATCATCAAAGAGGGAAGAATGATCAAGAAGAGGCGGAACGTACTGGTATTATTTGAGAAATACAAATAATGAAGAGGGTATGCCAAAGGACCTTTTTGAATATTTTCGGATTAAAAGAAGACATGGTACATGATTGGTTTAAGAAAAATAAACACGGGCGTGACATTACTTCATACACTTCCACTAGCAGTATAGAGAAAACTAGATCGAAAAACCGAAACAAAATAAAGAGGGGCCTTCTTAGTGAGTGGTTCAAGAGTCTACCTAAGATGCCATCACATTATTGTCGTAGGAACACGAACAGGCTGTACTTGGAAACAGTTTTTCAGTCAAAGGCTCAATTATATAACGAGTACCTAAAACATCGTAACACACATAAGTCAAGAAAAGATGTCATATGCGATTTTTCACCAAATTTTTTGTGATTAAACTTAAGCTTGCCTGAGAAAGACCATTGTACTTGTAGTGCTTACGAAGATGATGCTATTAACCTAAAAAATTATACGTTTACTTTGGACCAGGCTGTGAAAAACTGTCCTGTCGTAAATGTAAGTGAAATATATTATAAAAAGGAACTGACTGTTTACCTTTACCATTTATAATTTACAAAATCATGACGCTACAAATTGCTGGTGGGACGAAACAGAAGGAGAATTAAGTGCATCTACTTTTACTTCGATAATTGTAAACCATATAGAAGAAAACTGCATTGACAAAAATTTGGCTGTTATTTTGTGGTCCGATCAAAAAACTGCTTTAATTTCGTGTACTGATGTTGCTGTTTCATGGCCTATGCCATCTTGTCTACAGTGGTGCCTATTGTTCCTGTAAATGAAATGAATTTTGGAAAACCCTCTACTTGAGCAGTCCAAAAAAAAATTCCGGTTTGTATGATGGCTAAAAGGACATAGTTGAATTACTTTCGAAAATTGACAACACAAGGCAAAGTACATGTTTAATGAGAATTGTTGAGCCATTAGCATGTAAAATATCTGCCTCTATGAAGAAATTACTTCCATCCACAGTGGATATATTTAAAGATATATATTTATTCGAAACTTATAAGGAATTAAGTAATCCAAATTGACAATACGATTGAATTAAGTATAAGTAAGGAACAATGCTCAGAGGTAGAGAAAAACACTCAAAATCAACATATCAGCAAAAACTGGTATTTACAAAGATGTGGTAGAATCACAGCATCCCAATTTAAATCCGTTTGTCGGTCAAATAAGGAATCACCATCTTTGTCCTTAATTAAGTCCATTTGTTATCCAACGAAAGTAATATTTTTTACAAAAGTCACCACTTGGGATTTAGAACATGAACATATAGCTATAGAAAAATATAGAGAAAACATGGAAGAAAGTCACCACTCATTTATTATAAATGAAGCTGTACTAAGTAATTATTAATCAAAAATGGCCACAACCGGGGTCATCACCTGATAGGCTTGTTTTTTGTGAATGTTGTTTGGGAGGTTGTTTGGAAATTAAATGTCCATATTTGTTTCACACAAAAATAATGTTGACGATACTTATAAGTGATTACGCAAGGTTTAAAAATTCATGTTTAGTTTTCAATGATGGTATCTCTATCTTAGACAGAAATCATTTATATTATTATCAAGTTCAAATGCAAATGTTTATAACAAAAAATGTATTTTACTGTGACTTTGTATTTGTTCTCCAAAAATGTTTCTTGAAGAACATATTCACCCTAATTTTGATTTCTGGAACAAAAATATTGACATAGTTCTAAAATTTCATTTTGACATAATAGCGCCAGAGCTTTTAGGCAAATATTTTACAGAAAGGAAAGGTTTGGCTAAAGTAAGTTACTGGAGTGAATGTAAAGGCGTGGATGATGGTACACCAATGATTAGGTGCGAAAATGATAACTGTCTTACTGAATGGTTCCATTTTAAAGGTGTTAATTTATCAGACACTCCTAGCACAATATGATTTTGTGATGAGTGTCAAAAAGCCACAAAATAAAAAGTTAATGTTAATTTTTCCTTACACATTTTATATCAAGTTAATTTTCTTTGGATTTTTAATAGTAAAATAAATTTTTAATTAATGTACCGTTGGCATTATAATGAGAAATACATAAATTAAGGAATTGGAATGTATTAACATCATTGTAAAAATCCTTAATAGTAGGTAACAAGTTGTTGATTTTTAGAAAGTATAATTATTTACCTCGGCATAAATTTCCATTGTATTTTTGCTTGTATTTTCTAGTATTTTCTTCTTTTATCTACGCTGTATTTTCTATTCATGTCGCTTTTCTTATTAGATATAGCTTGGAAAACATGTCTCATGTGTTGAGATGCAGTCCAGTCTGGATTATCAAAATCTAACTTGCTTAGTTTCCCTAAAAATTGATTTTGTTTAATATAGTGGTTTAATTATAACATACCTACTTCTAATTATTTCTTGTTTCTTCTTTTTGTTACATAAAATAATTAAATTCTTACCAGTAATAAAATGCCCACTGCAAACTCTGGTTTCTTAATATAGATGTTAAGTCATCCCTTTTCATTGCAGCTATCCATGTTTGGCGCCGTTTTCTCGATAAATCATTTAAATGATTAAAATATTTAGAATTCACTGTCAGGTATACAATTAAAGTTAACTTAATCTCGATTTTCACGAATTCCACAACCCACTACTGTTCACGTTACCGGCATTAGCAATACATCATATCGTTGCTACACAATTCAATAAAAGATGAGTTATACAGTTCTTTAAACAAAATACATGAATAATTCCTTACAAAAAACTCGGATTAAACGCTTTTAACTAAAAGCTGCTGGGCTGATTTCAATGCAATCTCAATGTAAACATAATTTGTTTGCCTAATTGTTATTAGTATATAACCCCATTTTGGACTTGTGTACTGTCACCCTATCACCAGGCTTGCCAATGGTCGCGTTCAGCAGAACAAAGTTGATCAGGTAGCGATCTTTAAAACTGATCCATCGCTTGGAGTTCTGCTGAACGTGCTTTTTGCGCATTTACCCATTTGACAGATGACAGTCTTGTTTTGTTTGTGTTTTGTGGATAACCTTAAAAAATAAAATCGCAATTTTGATTTAATAAATAATTAAAATGGATAATGTTCGTATTCCTGAAGCAATTTTAATTGCAGAAGAAGATGGTATAGATCTAGGTCTAATAGTAGACAGAGCTGTTAATCTTCTTGAACCCATAAGGCATCATGAAATACTGGAAGAAGGGCGTGAACTGGAGCTCCGAATTAGAAATAAGCAGTTTTTTGAAGTTACCATACCATCCTATAATGATGATCTCTTTAAAGAACATTTTCGAATGTCTAGACGAGCTTTTCAGGTATTTATATATACAGGGTTACCTAAATTAAGTGTCCATCATATAACTTTGTTATTTTTGAAAGATACAAATTTGTTTAAGTTGTCAAACTAGTAGTTTTTTTAATACTCTTTGGAACAAGTATGGAATCAAAAGGTTAATTTCTTAAATATAAACCCCATTTTTTCAATTAGACTTTAAATCATAAAGAAAAAATTTAGCTGAAAACTTTTTCCTCTGATATATACAGGGTATCCCAGATTTAACGTTACAGGCAATAACTGATCGCTTGGTACAGTTACATTAATAAAAAATATGTACAAGAATTAGAAAGAGAGCAACCTTCGTCACATTATTGTGTAAAACCGGCTGGTGGCAGTGATTGTCTATTGGAAGTTGTCAGACGTTCTAGGTTACTAAAAATGCCATCCATCCTTTGGTGTGTAACTCTTTTTTGAAGCACCTTGTATAATTCAAAATAATTTTAAAATGTGCTCCTACTGGATCTATATATCTTACACTAAAAAGATTTTAAAATAATTTTATGGCTTTTCCTCAATAGACTGATGCGAATAGAGCACGCCACCCTGTATAAAAAAAATTCGTGGAAATTGTGCAACGCCCTCGAAATTTTATAGGGGTTTTCAGGTCAAGTTTATACACACTGTATGTAGATATACATTTTTTTTGTTTGTAGAATTTGGTAAATATTTTGGGAAGAATAGTTGACCATGAGCATGATAAAATTGATTTTGGTAAAAAGGTACTTTTTACAATATGGACGATTTCAAAACCAGAAAGTTTTCTGGAGACAGATTTGATTTTGGAAAAAGCACTGCCCATGCAATTTTTAAAGAAATTGTTGCAGCTTTAGCTAACCTCATAAGAGAATATGTTAGGTTTCCTCAAGTAAATGAATACAACCTCTCAACAGTTGTAAGTACTTTTGATCAAATATGTCTAAAAGGTAGCTATCTACAGGGTGATTTCAAAGTACTGTCATTCCTTTTAATAACATAAAATTTAACAAAAAAATTAGTTTTTTATTCATAGCACAAAAGCCCCTAAGCCGATTTTCACTGAACATGGCAGGTTTGTTTGTAATAATAAAAGGTATCTCCTGACAGAAGTAGATTTACCGTCATTATTCCAGTGACATTCCAGAGGGTAACCTGATTGATATTTATGATAAAAATTATTGTACTCCAGTTTTTTTAAAAGTTTGCTATTTGTATCAGATTAAGCAAATAAAAACACAACTTTTTTTGTCTCTTCATTCTTTTTTATATCTAGCTGGCAAGTCCCTGAGCTAGAAAAATTCTCCAAACTTTCTCTAGTTTTGTACCAATGATAATAACATTAAAAGGAATACGACAGAAACCGTACAACGCTGTCAAAATTTAATAGGGGTTTTCAGGTCAAATTTAAACACACTGTAGAAAACTATGAATAATAACATACAATAATCTTTCTGTCTCAGGCATTTCAACAACGTTCTAGGGGGTTTCCTGGAGTTGTGGGTGCTATAGATGGCTGTCACATCCCTATAAAGCAACCACGGGGAAATGNTCGACGGATAGACTAGAGATGGGCGCAAGTGTCATTTCATTTCTTTAGAACTAAATTAACTTAATTATTTTCTCGTTATTTAACCTGTTCACATGATTTATGGATTTTAAATAAAGGGTACAAATCTTCGCGAGGATATACGATATATTTGCTATACATAATAATTATATTTTGCATTATACAATACATTTTTGAACGCGTACACATCTCTACCAAAATTTGACCTATTCTTCGGGTTAAAGTCACACATTGTCCGCTCTCTAGTAATCAGGCCCTTTGTAATTTTTTTTATAGCATTTTGGAAGTTTTTTTATTCAAAATTCGAAAATATTACCCTTTTTATACCGACATTACTTTTTCTTAACCACTTTTAGTTCCAGTTTCAAAGTATTCACTATTTATTTTATTTTGTCTGCATTTATACTAATTCTGTGAGTGTCTTTTGCGATTTTCATCTCTTTTTTACAACCGCAAATATTATTATGTAGTTGTAATATTTTGCTCCCTTATGTAATTTTCAACAAGGAATCTGTTTCTGCTGTCAGATTTGGATCTGGATAATAACAGAAAATGTTATACCAGTGATTACATTTACCCCAGGGAAATGCGCATATGGGGTAAGTGTAATCGCGAGACTGGGGTAAATGTAATCACTGATTACATTTGCCCCAGGCTCCTCTTTCTTGAATTTTTAGTATATAACCTAACATCTTCTTTATTATTACAGGCTAGTGAGAGAAGTGTATGAACCAAAAATAGTGTAATTACTTACCAAAGACTAAAGTAAACTATAAAAACAGTGACTTAAGTAAACTATAAAAACAGTGTTAAAATCTTTAAAATACCAACCTACCTAAATATCAGACTAAATTTTATACACTTCCTAGTGAGTTCCTTATTCAAAATGGTGAGAGTGTATAAGAAAAAAACAGACCCTTCTTACAGTGCTGAACTATTAAAAGATGCGCTTAGAAACATCCAACAAAGCGGTATCAGTATTCGTAGTGCTGCCCGGAGGTATCAAATCCCATTTTCTACTCTTCAAAAACATCTACGAGGAACCCGAGGATCAAAAAGCACGTCCAAAGGAAGACCTACTGCAATACCTGTAGTTGAAGAAGAAAAATTAGTAAATGCCATAAAAACCATGGAGAAGTGGGGTTGGGGGCTGAGCAGAAAGGAAATCATAGAGTTAGTGGGAAAGTTTGTTAAGAAAAATAATATAAAAACGACATTTAGAGATGGAATCCCTGGAGAGGATTGGTTCTTAGCCTTTAAACAAAGGCACAGGCTGTTTTTAAAAAAGCCACAAGGACTGGAGTATGCCAATGATCCATTTGTGATTGAACAATATTTTCACATATTAGAAGAAACCCTGGAAAGATACAATCTGCAAAATAAGCCTTCTCAAATTTATAACATCGACGAAACTAGTTTTACGCTCGATCCAAGTAAGACTAAAATTGTTGGTCAGAAAAATGCACCTGCTTCAAGAATAACCACCGGACCCGGAAGAGAGAGTACTACTGTTCTCATGGGTGGTAACGCGAATGGGGATAAACTTCCACCATTAATTGTTTTCAAAGGAAAAAATATATGGGATGCATGGATGGCTCCTGATGAATCCACATTTCCAGGCACTTCTTATGCTGCTTCGTCAAATGGTTGGATGGAAACTGNTTTTTGTAGTAACCAAAATAGATTTTAAAACTGTCCCAAATTTGAAATTAATAAATTGATGCTAATTTAAGAGGTTTTTCTTTATTATATTTTCACCAATTTATTAATTTCAAATTGGGGCAATTTTAAATTATATCTTGCATGGTCACTATACAAAAAGAAATATCCCAAAAAATGTTATCAGATATTTTTGTAAAAAAATTACAATCTTCAAACAAGAAAAATGCAAATACTTTCTCAAAACTTTGAACTTGTTGAAAAATGTCAGAACCCCATCTTAACGCTAAATACAACAGTTTAAATAGAAACTAAAATAAATAAAAAATAACATATCAAATAGGAACTAAATTAGTAGGTAACACAACCTTAAATCTAAGTAACACTAACTGTAGACCGAGCTGTAAACTTATTTTTCCAAGATTTGCCTTAATATTTGATTTCTTTCTTGTTGTATCTCATTGTTTCTCTCTAGAGCTTCTCTCAGTTTTTTTACTTCTTCTAATCTTTGACTTTCTATTTCTTGGATTTTTTTTCTATGATCATAAAGCTGCTTAGTTCTGTTTGCCTTTCTGACTATCAGTTTCTTTTTGTTTGTTTTCATCCACTTTTGGTTTACTACTAACTTTAATACTTTGTTTTTGTATGTTTTCCAATTTTGAACTTGGATCCTCTGACATTTGAATGGTTGGGCAGGTTTCAAAGTTTAAAGTGGCTTGGGAATCTTTTAAAACTGATTCCATTGTTGATATAATCGATGTTGGGTTTATAGTTTTATCATTAAAAAAAATATCATCCATAGTTTCAAAATATTCCCAAGTTATGGCTGATTCTCCAGTTTTATTTTTTTTATCTTTGTTATCTTTGTAGGTCTTTTTTAAATTCCTCATCTTCCTATCCAATAACTCTATGGTTACAGACTTATAACCTCGGTTGTTAAATTCCTTTAATATCTGAAGCCAAATATCCTTATTTTTCATTTTGGAATTCCGAAAGAGATAATTTTTTTCTTTATACAAATTTAACAGAAGTAATGTTGCTTGCCTCGTCCATTTAAATTCATCGGGATTGTTATCTATGAGGTTGCCTAGTAAAACATTTTAATTACCTAGTTGACGCACTGACTCTCCTAAACCCAAAATTAGTATAAAAATAAGCATATTCTCTCTTACTTGTAATTAATTCTGATGGACAATCATTACTTGTAACGGGAAGAGGTATTTGGGGAAAATGTTTAGGGTTGTCACCAATATCTTCTTTGTTTCCTTGATCTGGGAATTGGGTCTTTAAACTTCCAAAGTATTCCTCACAGAATCTTGAATCTAAAAATATTGATAAATTAATAGAACGAAACACAAAATGTAATGAACAGATATAAAATTCTTACCACCTTGAAGCCGTTGATGAAACACAGAACTTCCATTAACATTATAAATTCGGTCCTTAAAATCATAGGTAATCATTATTTCTTCTCCTGGGTTCATTTTGATTTTAATATTCAAAATAAAAGTTAAAGCAAATTCAAAATTTTTAAATTTAATTTCACCTAAAAGTTTTGAAAATGACAGTTGATGACTGATGACACAAAGTAGTGGTTGATGTATCAGTATCAGTGATCGGTAGCGTAGCGTAATTTTATTTCGCTCGAAAAAATGGCGACCGCTACGGGAGCGCTCCTAACTGATCATTTAACAAAACAGGCGTTCGGCAGAAAATTGATGATCGCTCCGGTAGCGCGCGCCATTATTCTATGGCTAGAAATTGGCCTCAATGATTTGGGATCGAGGGGGATTATCCCTCTTTATCCTGCCTCATCTCGTGTAGGCCTGGACAGCCTTCGTAGGTGGGCCCCATCCGTCGTCTACCCCGACCGCAAATGCGGCCGGTGTAGGCGCTTTGTGGGACCTCCTTTTGTCCTGGCTGGGCCCCGCCGGCTAGGGCCCTTTCTTCTGGCGCTCTTCTTGCTTCGCCGGCTCGTCTGTGTAAACCCCGGGGGTAGTGTCATGTTTATGTGTGGTATGGTTGGGTAGGGTAGTGCGGCTATGCAGCCTGGGATGCGCTTTGCTAAGGTGGCCCTTAGGCTAGCGCGGGAGGGGAGGGGTAAGGAGGGTATGGGGGGTGTGTATGTGTGTGTGTGTGTCGTTGTCTTCGTTTCTTGATCCTGGCTGTCTCTGAAACAGAAAAGGTTAGCGGGCAGGGGGGGGTCATTGGGGTGGTCACCCAGGGTCAAAAAGTTGGTGTCTAGGTCTTTTGTGTTTGTCGGTCACGTCGGGTACGTAGTCAACGGCTTGCCTGAGGAGGGGATTGTCATGTCTAGCGGCTACGTCAAATCGTTTCTCCGCGTTTTGTCTTATTGTCTGTGTAGCGTTTGTGTATTGTAAGTCTCGTAATATGTCAGTGTTTCTTACGTACCAGGGCGCGTCGGTGGCCGTGCGGAGGGCTATGTTTTCCACAGCCTGTAATGACTTTAAGTGGCTTTTTGCCGCGTGACCCCACGCCGTGGAGGCGTAGGTTAGCTGCGGTTGAAGTACCACCTTGATAAGCGTTCGCTTATTCCTTAAACTGAGGGTGTTTCCACCTTTGAGTAAGGGATAGAGCCTAGCCCTGGTGGTCTTCGCTCGCGCCACCGTCTCCACGATGTGCGGTTTCCACGTGAGACGCTGGTCCATCGTCACGCCCAGGTATCGTGTTTGTCGATTCCAGGAGATAGGTTCCTGGGATAGTGTCAGTCTGTCGAGGTTTTGTGGGATTTTTCGTTTGGTAAAAAGGATAGCCGAACTTTTGTTGGGATTAATTTTGACTTTCCACCTGTTGCACCAGGTTTCAAGTTGGTCTAAGGAGTTTTGGAGGAGGGAGACGGAATATCTAGGATCTACGGATTGGGATGTGATTGTCAGGTCGTCGGCGTATAAGTATATGTTGGTGTTGGGGGGATGTGGGATGTCGGAGTTGTAAATGGTGTATAAGTGTGGGGACAGGACGGTGCCCTGGGGGACACCGGCCTCCATGGGACGGGTGGTGGAAAGGGAATCTTGGATTTGGATGCGGAATTTACGGTGGTGTAGGTAGGATTTTATGAGTTTGGTAAAGGATATGGGATATTGGTTGGTGGGTCCGGTAGCGCTACGTTCTGCTGAACGCGACCATTATAAAATAAAATTGGTTATTTGTTTACTTCACTCGTATTTATTATGCTACATTCACTTGGGACATATGGAACACTAGCGCCACCCCAACTTCTGCCATTTCTTGGATAAATTTTGTCAATTTTCCCATATGAGTTCGTGCTCCTTATCTAGTCTCTCTGGTCAAATCGGTCGACTCTAGCGTGACCACAAAACATCAAAGGAACCGCCGATTCTGTCGCTTCTCGTTGGTATAGTGTTCTCTGTTGATATTTCACTTTGACATTTGACGTAAAAAATTTTTTATGTGTACTGTAAGGTGTATTTGTATACTAAATACAATATATAGGTGTGCGTGTTTGTGTATCGAATCTACGATCCATTATTTAGAAAAACTATATTATAATTGAACAAGTCCGGGTTTACACCAATAATTAGTATCTAAATCTCGAGTATCGGGTTTGTAAATAATGTATAATATTAACTTGTGATTAAAATTTAAATAAAAATGCAAGTAAATCAAATTAATATGGACTTTCCCTCAGAACTTTGCGTAAAACCTTTAGCTTTAGTGGGTGTTTCTGGATTAGATACTTTAAATAATGCAATCCACAAAGCCATTTGGGAAACATTTAATAATAATAGACGAGCAGAAAGAGCTCCTGTACTTTTTAAGTTAATTAACAATGCTTATGAATTTCCTGTGTGCAAACCTAAAAGAAGTTCTTATGACTGGTACATTCCAAAAGGTATACTGAAAAAGAATTGGATGAATAAACATTTGTATGAAATTCCAGCTGTTATTGTAATATTCTATGATTTGGATTGGAATGATCCGCAATGGAGTGAAAAAATGATTGAATGTGCTTCTAGAGTACAATCTATGAGGTAAGTTATGATTGAAGTTATAATTTTTCAATTCCCCATAAAATCATTTTTATTTTCTAAGGGATATACGGTTGGACTATAGCTCTTAGGTACCTGGCACATCTCCGTCAAAAATGAATATAAAAATCTGAAATTTTAGGGGTGTCTAGATGGGGAGACCTAAGAGCACAGGTAATTTCAACTCGCCCCTCCCTCCCTAGGAGGTGCAGAGGGGGGTGAGGGGTGGTTTTTTTGGACGTACCCTATTTATTTTGCGATTTTCGGATTCTACGCGTAAAACTACCCCCGGAAATGCGATCTTGCCGAATTCGCACAAAAACCAAAATTCACCTCATATGAACTTTGTCTTTTTTTCGATGACTTTTTTTCGATTCTTGGGTACCTGGGCATATCTCCGTCAAAAATGAATATAAAAATCTGAAATTTGAGGGGTGTACTATAGGCGGGGAGACCTAAGAGCGAACGTAATTTCAACTCACCCCTTCCACCCTAGGAGGTGCGGAGGGGGTGAGGAGTGTTTTTTAGACGTACCCGCAAGAACGCGTTTCCGGGGGTAGTTTTACGCGTAGAATCCGAAAATCGCAAAATAAATAAGGTACGTCCAAAAAAAACCACCCCTCACCCCCTCTGCACCCCTAGGGTGGAAGGGGTGAGTTGAAATTACGTGCGCTCTTAGGTCTCCCCATCTAGAGTACACCCTTAAAATTTCCCAAGAGCTATAGTCCGTTTTTATGTGATGTCAAATTTGAATTGTTATATTTGTGGTTAAAAGATTGAAATGCAGAATAAATAATTAGCTAGGTATAATTAGTTATTTTGTTTTGATTTATTATGCTACACGGAGATTGTTTGTTTTAGCGTTTTCAGTTAAATTACTGGTTAACAAATAAATTTCAATTGTAATAAAATCTTTTGAAAAAGCTCTCGATCGAGAGCAAAACGTTAAAAAGTTTGCTGTTGTTTTTTATTGTTTTTTAATGTTTCTCAATGTTACCACTGGTTATTTCATTGCTTATAAGATTCTACTCAGTACCTACCTGTTTTAAAGTATATTAATACCTACTCGTTTTGTTTTTTTCGATAACTTTATTTTATATTTGTTATAATAAAAAGTAACAGTTACATATTTTTTTAAAAGTTAATAATGGATTTAATAATTTTGTGTATTTTATATATTTATATTTTTATTTTATAATTTAACTTGCAATAAAAATATATTTTATCAAAACGTTCAAAAGGACACAACAATAACATTATACACAAAAATGAAGTTTGTAAAAAATTTATTTGGTATATAGGTACCTAGTCCCTTATGTTTTTTTCATTTTATCAAGGTATGGCACCTTCTACAAATTAATCTTTAAACAACCATAAGTGTATTTTGACTGTTTGTTGTACATATTTGTACTAAAGGACCCCGCACAAAATGAATGGAAATTGGGTCCCGCTAGATTTGGCTGGAATTGTGATCTGTTATATGTAGTTCTCGACATTCTGATCAAAAGTTGTCACGGGCCCAAAGTGATCCTATGGATAGTTTGTGGTAGTGTGACAGGCTCTCGAAGTAATGTGTACAGATGTATAATGACCAGTGTTGCCAGTTTTTTTTTCAGGCAAAGCGGGATTTTGAAACTTAATAAAAAAGCGGGATTGTTTCGTCCAAAAACGGGACATACTCCGGGGTTGTATAATTGATGCCCCCAAAAAAAAAAGGTCAGGATATCTGCGAAACAAATAGTCTTCAAAAAAAAATCGATGTCTAAAAAAAAGGACCTAATCAGGAGGAGGAAATATAGCGGGACGTCTGGCAACGCTGATAATGACTGTCAGTCAATGATTCAACCTAAAAATGACAGTTTATAGACTTCGATAGCATTAGATCGAGATAAATGAACCCCATACTTATTAAAGGTGTGTCAACAAGCACATAATTGTGTTGAAAAAGTTAGTTTTACAATTACATGTTTACAAAAATGTAACCAATATGAAAGACCATATGCTGTCAAGATGAATGAAGAGTTGAGTAATTACAGAGGGCGCCTGTCAGGCTCTACTTTTCTAATTACATGATTTTAGACTACTTGTCTTCTTCTACAGCCTTCTGGAAATCTAAATGAGGCCTGGGTTGACATTCTCGGTTGGTGGTTCTCCATAGGTCGTCTCGAAGAATGTTATTTTATTTATTTATTTTTTTTTATAATGTTTGGAGTGTCGGTATGACTCTTTTCTAATGTATTGGTTTGGAGGTTTTCTGTTTATTTATTTAATTTTATTTTAATTTTATTTTTTATTTTATTTTTTTTTAATTTTTATTTTGTTTTTATTTGTTGTTATGTTGTTTTTGTTTTGTTTCTATTCTTTTGGCACCTCTCTTTTGATTTTTATTTGCTTATCTTTCTTTTTTTATGTTTGTTTATTATTTTTTCCAGGTAGGAATCGAGAAGTGGAGTGGTCGGTTTGAAATTGAAAATCTTATTTATGTTAAAAACCAAAAGCATTGCGAGAGTACAGATTCTTTTTATGAAAGCGCTGAGAGCGTCAACGATGATGTGCGTAGACTGGCTAGATGTGGAACTTGAGTTAGTGCGGAATGACTAGTATCGAGGTTTGATGCCGCAGTCAACGCGGCCGGCGAGGCATCTTGACAGCGTATGGTCTTTCATATTGGTTACATTTTTGTAAACATGTACATACAGGGTAGCCCATCGAAAACGTACCGCAAGGCATTACAGGGTAGTAATGAACTTTTCGGCAAAATCCAAAAACTGGACACTGTTGGCTAAAGAAACACCTTTACAATATGGGGAAGTGTGAAACACCTCTTTGTAGGGGCTGTGAACAGGAAGACGAGACGGCGTTGCACTTACTATGTGAATGCACTGCCGTCTCGTCAACAAGAGAGTCCATGTTGGGAGAGCGCTGGCCTTCAATGGCCTATATTAGAGAGACCCCCCTGAGCAACGTCACCACCTTTTTCACTGTAATAAGCTGGTTGGCGGCTCAGGTGGATTGATCTCTCTAATGGGAGGATGTACAAGGGGCCCAATGGGGCCTAAGTGCTGTAGCTTTGCTACCCTCCCCACAATTCCAGACTCCAGACTCCAGAA